TATAAAAGATAATTCTAATGTTATAATTCCTCATATGAAGACATTCATCTTCTCTATAGATTTGTTGATAAGATTATTCAATTTGGTTTGACTTCAACAAAACCACTTAAACCTTTTCAGTAGACTTTAATATCAAAATACAATCTTTCCATTTATGCACATTGAATTACTCAACTAAAACATGATGACTGACCAAAAGTAAGTGTTTAATACTTATACAATCAGTCCATTTGTACATTCTGTAGCACAGCAAAGAAAATAATAAGGAACTGTCTCATAAGAAATAGCATAAAAATAATAGGGAAGTTAAAAACAGTCTGAGAAAATATGTTATTTCAAATTGAAAACCACTTTTCACTTATAAATTGTATTTTTTGTACTTCTGTAATGATGAATATTTACTGTGTATGAAATATATATATACTAATATTGTACCTGTCTAATATGACTGATTTATTTACATATGGAACAGAACTTCTATCTAAGATTAAAATAACTATGCATACTGCCTCGAATCAAAGTGTCAATTCCCAATTCTCTGTCTAGGATCAGTATAGTATCTGTACATTCTGTATTTCTAAGTTAATTTTATCATTATATTCAATCAGCAGAACACCATTACCCTGATGTTCTGCTGATTCACTTGTCAGGTCAGATGTTCAAATTAGGGCAGAGTTCACTACATAATTTTTGTATCGACAAAATGGGAATTAGCTCAGTATAGAGTAATAATCAATTTATTTTTTGACTGTTTTAGGAAAAGAGGTGAAGGAGTTTTGGAGACCATGAAGAATTTATTAATCTGAAAGATGAACCATGACTATTCTCTTGATAACAATTCATAAAAGAACCCAGTACTCATACTTGTAAAATTTTGATGCAGAAAAACTGTTCAAGAAGGAAACCAACACTAAATTAGAAAAATTCCACATGATAATAAATAATGTGTGTATTTGTATATGTGAGTGGGAGAGAGAGTGATTAAGATTGGCTTGGAATGCCCTAAAATTGATTAAATGATCATAGCTGTAGGTTATTTTTTTTTTACCTATTTTCAGATAAAACTAACCTAATATAATTAAAAAAAAAAAAAACAACTGGTAGACTGACAAAAGCATTGTGGAAGCTCACTCTTGATTTATCTGGTTCATAAAAGTTGAAATCTTTTACAATAAATATTCAGATTCTTCTTCTATGTTCCTTCTCTCTTCACGATGTAGGTGATCATGGTTCTCTACAATTTTCCATCCTTTTGTAACTATTATTAAATTTTGTCTCTTTGTTATCTCTCCTAACCCTTGTTCCACGATCCATTTACTCAAGCTCATTATGTAGAGACTATGCATTGTTTTCATCTATCCCTCTTGCCTTCAATCTCTCTTTCAACTCTCTCTTCCTGATGGTTAATATAAGAGTCCTTTTTGTTTCAATTTTCTTTAAAACTTTGTCATTGCTCATTGTTTAGTCCATGGTATTCTCAGCATCCTTCTGTAGAACCACATTTCTGTTCCTTCAAGTTTCTTCTTCATCTATGAGAAGATTGTCCAGTATTCACTGCCATATAAAAAGACTTGTTATTAGATAACAGTTCAGTACACTTTTCTTTCTTTCTAATGAGATTTTTCTTATTCTTAATACTTTGCTTAGCTTCCAGGAGGCATTTTGTTTTTCTGTACCAGTGTGCCTTCTGTCTTCTGTTAAAACACTTCCTAGATATTTAATTTTTTTTACTTTCTTTATTTTGGTATCTCCAATTTGTAATTGACATATTGGGCTATTGCTTTTGCTAACAACTATATATTCTTTCTTTTTACAATTTAGTCCTTTTTTTCTTTCTTTCCTTTACTACCTTCTTTAAGAGTTCCTGTAGTTTCTTTTCTATATCTGCTATCAACCCTGTGTCATCTGCTGTTAAGATTGTGACTGCCAAGGATGAATTCTGGTAGGACTTCTAATTCTCTCAGGATTGCTTCATTGTAAAGGTTGAATAAGTCTAGTGAGAAGACACATCTTTGTCTCATGCCCCTTTCTATTTTTGTGTATTAACTGAATTCATTTTCTGACCATATGCAGGCAGTGTGCTCCCAGTATAAATTCCAGATTATTCTAATATCCTTCCCAAATGAATTAAGCTTACCTAGCAGTTCAAATAGTTCTTTGTGACATACCTTAGCAAATAATATCCAGATTATATACCTTAAAATTTTCTTTGTTCTTTTTTGTGTATATTTTAAACTAGAATAATGAAATTAGCATTTTCCACTTTCTTAAACAAAATTTTTTCAAATATTTCATTTCAGCAAGAAAAAGAAGTACTTGTTACACTTTTACATATTTACACATGGCTGTACATGAAAAAAGAGCAGAAGCATATATAACTGTGTACACATACACATGCACACAAGTAAACACTTGTATATTTTAACATAATAATATTCAAAGATATTTTTCTAATAAAGTAATTTTATTCACAAAATTATATTTGACAAAAAGGCATTGAAAAGATTTTATTCTTTTTTCTTTCATAATTATTTTTTATAATTGTTTTTTATTTCAAATTTTTCCATTTACTTCCATTTCTGTGTTGAATTACACTTTCAAATCATGAATGGAAATCAATGTCTTTTCATTCTTTGAAACAGAGACAATGTTCGAGATGTCATCATTGACCTATTTTGTGATTTTGAAGCTTGACTCAAGAGAAAGCATGAAAATATATTTGATAAATCAATTTAGATAAAATGATACCAAAAAAAGAAACACTTGCAAAATCAGAAACACTTGACCTTCTGCTTCTAGTTCTGTTTGTATGTTCATAAGTTAAATAAAAAAGAAAATGATTGTATCTTCCACACTAAGATAATATATATTGAGCTAAAAATCTGTTTATGCATCAATTTGGAGAAAATGCAAAATTTCTTTTTCTGGACTTAGATCAGCATCATCCTTTAACAGATATTTTTATTTCATTGTTCAGATTTCTCAAATATTTTCTATTTATGTACATGCTTGAAAACATAGACTCAATTTGTTGATTACATGAAACCAATTTTTCTCCATTCCATTCCGTTTTAAATATAGAATATTAAGATAAAAAAACTTTAAATAATAAAATATTATATTTTTATGATTCTTTTCTTAACAAACATGACACTCATCCATTGTCCCTGTCTTTAAGAACTCTGGTGACCCTTCTGACCCTTCTAATTACTGTCCTATCAGTCTCCTACCTATTTTTGGCAAAGTCTTTGAAGATTTAATCAATGCTGAAGTGGTTAAGCACCTTACATCCCATGATCTGCTCTCCAACAAGCAAATATGGTTTCCACTTTGCCTGTTCTACAGCTGATGTGCTTACGTCCATGACTGAAATTGTTTACTAAGCCCTTCAAAATAACGGAGAAGCTTGTGCTGTGGCTCTAGATATCTCCAAAGCATTTGATAGGGTCTGGCATGCTGGCCTTCTTCGCAAGCTTCAGGGTTATGGAATTTCAGGTCGATTGTTTGACTTAATACAATCATTCCTGTCAAACCATGTATTGAAGGTCATTCTTAACAGATTCTTTTCCAGTTCCTATCCTATGAATGCAGGTATTCCCCAAGACTCCATCCTAGGCCCTACTCTGTTCCTTATCTTCATCAATGATCTTCCTGACGTCATAGATTCCCAAGTAGGCATCTATGTGGATGACACTACAATTTACTCCTGCCTCAAAAACAAATCTAGTGTCATTGACAAAACTAACCTGGCTGTTCATCTCGAAAAGGACCTCCAATTGGTTGTGAACTGGGACAAGAATTGGCTGGTTAACTTTAACACCTCAAAAACAAAACATCCCTGCCCCCCATTAGAATGTCTGATGCTCAACTTTGTGAGAGCTCATCTTTGCAACTGCTCAGTCTCACATTGACTGCTGACCTGAGATAGAACAAATACATTGAGTCAATAGCTTTGTCCATTGCAAGGAAAGTTGGCTCCCTGTGCCGTGCCAGGAAATTTTTCTCACCGGAGTCAATCATTCAAATCTGCAAATCCACCATTTGCCCTTGCATGGAGTATTGCTGCCATATATGATCCAGTGCCACTTCTGTTTGTCTCAATGTTCTTGATAAGATCCAGTGATGGATATGCAATATAATTGGCCCTGATCTGGCATCTCATCTGCAGTTGCTCTCTCACAGACATGCCATCGCCTCCTGCTGTCTTTTTTACAAATACTTTCATGGTAACTGCTCTGATGAGCTGCTTTTGCTGGTTCCCATACTTCACGAATTTAAGCATTCTACTAGGCTGGCATCTTACTCACACCCTTTCACTCTCAAAACTGTTAAATGTAGCCATCTCTTCTACTCCAATAGCTTCATGTCTCACACCTCTTACCTGTGGAACTCCCTCCCCTTTTCTCATTTCCCTGATAGCTATAATCTCCAACTATTCAAATGTAATGTCAATCGACATCTCCAGATGCCCCTATTCTTCTCTTCATCCTTTCTTCTATCACTCCTCTTTGCTCTCACTCCAACTTTCTGTAACCCCTTGTGTGCTAGTGGCTTCCCGCCTTGCTTGGGGTAAAACGCTTAAAAAAAAACCAAAAAAACTCACATCTTATTAATAATAATATTTTATTTTGAATGTAACATGACTGAGTTAGCTATAATTACTATGCATATAAAATATTTTTTCTTGTATTTTATACCTATATCTAGTAATATTGTGTATGTATGTAAAAAGAAAGGTTGTTCAAATAGACAAATGAGAAAAAGATAAATAGCAAGTGATGGATTGTTATAATTGGTTAAAACAAATTCTTAACTATTCAATACAAAATGTTTACTTTTAGAGGACAACCAAAATGATTATCAAAAATGTCTTTAGTCATTTTTGCTGTGACTAACTGATAAGTATTTTATTCTTTTTTTTTCTATTTTACAGAACACTTGTAGGATGCCTGGATGAGAAAGCACTTTGTTATACTCTTGAGGTTTCATTCTTCAGCTACATGAATGTCACAACTGGGACTGCGCTCCCTTACACTGAAGAAGGCTGTATCCTTTTGGTCATTTTTCCTCAAGCTGAAAAAGGAAAGTAGAAATACACTTTCAAGTTTGTTGCTTTTATTATTATTATTATTATTATTATTATTATTAATACTACTATTGCTATGGTTGTACATCAAAGTTGTTCTCATATACAAATAGGTTTATATCAAAGTATCCATCTATATCTTGAATTGATTGTTTTCCCCTCATGCAGACACATAACTGTGACTACAACTATTTTCTGAATTTAAGTGAGACATAAGTTAATGATTATAATACAAGGTAGAAAGACAAAGTATTTGACCTATTGTTGCAGCAACTCAGCTGATGAAATTTTTTGCTGTATACTTCAAGAAAAAAATAACGCTTTTAACCTTGATAATAAAAGTTTGAGTTTGGGCATGTCTCCACATGCTTCTCTTGAATCCATATAAATGTCTAATAATTACACCAACGCTACAATATTCTTTGACAAAATATGTTTGTCTAGATCCATTGATTGAAGGCTGTCTTTTTCACAAAGACAGGGGTTAAGTACACTTCTTTCTTTTGCTGACTTTATTTCCCTTGCTTCCAGATATTTCTTTTATTTGTACACTGTTTTTGGCATCTTTTGACATTTGATATCTTTTGACATTTCTCTGTTATATTTAAATCATTACTTCTTATTTAACTAAGAGAATAGTCACACTCCACTTTCTTTCACTTTTCCTATTAACATTCCTCTTTTTCTCTTTCTCCAGCCTCTATTCAAGGCCATTGTCATCTGTAACATTTACTGTTTTTATTTTATATATACAACAAAAAGATGTAAATAATATAGTTACTTTAGAGACTTATTTATACTGCAGAAAAAAAGAAGTCCACAGCTTGCTTTAAACTTTTTAGAAATATTACCTTTTCACTGGGATCACTTATGTTGGATACACAAGACATGACAGAAATGAACCATGCCTGGTCCTTGGATATTCTAAACACAATGACAGCATTTGCTGACTGTGATAAAAGAGAGAGTTTTGGGTTATTCTGATAGGTTTACAATACTAGCTAGAGGAAATTGGGCTATTTTTGGCTATTTATATATTGTATCCCACATTCTTGTGTGGAGGTGAATAAATACTGGGATCTATATATATTCAGATAAAGGCTCTGAAGACATGCATTTTATATGATGCAAAATGTTTTTCTTGAAACTTGAATTCATAAAATGCTTCTGAAATTCTGTGCTTAATGATTTTAAGTGGATCATCTTTGGATGGGAATACACAAAATTCCTCAAGAAGTTAATTTTGTCAGTTTTAAAATGTGACAAAACAGCATTTTGAAGCAATCTTTACAGCAATAGAGAATAAAATAAATCAAAAGATACTTGTTGGTCTCTCTTTTTCTACATAGAACAATATAAGAAAATTTGCCAGAAGGGTTCAAGATTTTTTTCTTCATGAGATATGGAATCATTAAACTTAAGCCAAAAGAATAATTGAAAAGGTCTGATTATCCCTTGCAATTTTATAATGAATTATTTAATGTATACCTGCAAGACAGAAAAGATACATCAAAAGATAAAAATAAAAAAATTGTTATAAATGAATATTGATTTACAATGAGATGATTACTATATATTCTTTACAATCTTTTACATATTAATGCAATGACACTCTACCACTGCTTTTACTATGACTATATACTTCTTTTTGTGCCATGTTTTTTGTTGTTGTAAGTAATCTTTGACCCATTACCATATCTTTTTATCACTGTTCTGCAGTCCCTTCATATGAACACATTAAGTAGGCTACTTATCACTTCTTGTTTCTCTTGCCCTGTGAGTTTTAAATTCTCCAGACCCTTTCTCCTTGTCATGTCTTCCAAAAATTTCAGCTGTCTTTTCTGATTGTAAGTATCAATTTCCTTGTTGTTCCTATTCTCCTTAAAACTTTCTCATTACTCACACGTTCTATCCATAGTATTCTCAACATTTATTGGTATAGCCACATCTATATGCCCAGTATTCAATGTGATATAGGTGGTTAGATATTATATAACAGATCAGCACTATTTATTTTGTATTAAGAGACAAGATATTTTTCACTCTCTTAATACTTTGCTTACTTTCTGGAAAACTTGATTTGCTATTGCTATGCAACTTCAGATTTCTCTGATATGCTTTCTAGTATTTTTACTGAACTACCCAGATTTGTTTCTCTGTTTTATTTTGACACTTCAAATACATAGCTCCCACCATGGGTTTTCTCTTTTGTTGACAGCCATCTTGTTAAAATTAATAGTTAGTGCTTTCATCTTGCTTTCCTTTCTAAGTGTTCTTTCAGTTTTCTTTCTAAGTCTGCCATCAACATACATCATCTACATATCTTATATTGTTAAGATTATAAACACATCTTGGTAGGTTTTCTAGTTCTTGGAGGATTGTCTTGCTGTATAGTTAAAATAAATCTGATGGGAAAATTTGTCATTGTCTTATTCCTCTTTCTGTTTTTGGGGCATTCACTGAACTAATTCTTTATCTCTATGCAGACTGTTTGTTCCCAATAAAGATTATGGATTACACAAATATATATTCCATGTAAATCAAGAGTTTCTAGTATTTCAAGTAGCTCTTCATGTTGTACTCTATTAAATGCTGATCACACAACTATTTAATCCTGTCTTGGTTTCAAATTCAATAGGTCCAACAAAGTAAAACTGGTAGCTGCTTTCAAAAATGCCTTCCAATCAGTGGTTTACTGGGCTAAGGAATGGCTTGGAAACGTTAATGATCCCAAAACAAAGCTGCTATCATTTAATCATCATATATAACTTTTTCTACCTTCCATCATCATGACTGTTGCTAACCTCCAGGAGAACAACTCTTTGCTTCTTTTTGAGCTCACATTTTCCACTGACATGAAGTGGAGTGATTATATTGAATCAATTGCTAGGTCTATTGTAAGGAAAGTTGGTTCATGATGTTGTGCTAGACAATTTTTCATGTCAAAATCCATCTTGCACATTTAAAATCTACCATTCATCCATGCATTGAATATTTCTGCCATATGTGGTCTAGTGCTCCTGCTATATATGTTGAGGTTCTTGACAAAATCCATTGAAAGTTCTGTAATGTAATTCATCCTGCCCTGTCTTCTCAACTCCAGTCACTTTTCCCACCACTATGATATGGCTTCCCTCTGCCTTTTCTATAAATCTTTTCATGGTAATTGTTCTGTTCACCTTTGTGTCTTCACTGCATGAATTTAAGCATGCTACTTGATTGGCAACTAAATGCCATTGTTTTACTGTTGAACTAGCTAGATGTAGCTATAAGTTCTGTTCTCACCTGTGGAACTCTCTTCTGGTTTCTTGCTTTCCTAATATCATCAAAGATTTAAATGCAATGTAAATCTCTATCTTCTTCTATGTTCCTGAAACCTGTTCTTTTATTGGCCTTTATTTCACTCCTGGTAATCCCTTGCATCTTGCTTGAGGTGAAATGATAAAAACAAATGCCTTTATATAATCTCTAGTTTCACTACTGCCTTATATTTTATTTATCATTTTGATAACCTTATTGATCCCAACATTGTCCAACATTGACAGCATCTCTATTTCTATTTCTTCTAATGCTCCAGTTTCATTTTTCTTCATCTTTGCCAGTACTGATTAATAATTTTAATACTTTAGTTCCTTCCATGGTTTTATTTTTTTTTGTGTATTATAACTTTGTCTCCTCTGTTGTTATGGAAGAGCTCTCTAATATATCTCCTCCGTCTTTTAATTTTTTTTATTAGGGATATTCCCTTTTTATATTTTAGGTATCTTGTTGAAGAGTACATTTTCTGTCCTATTATTTCAGTTATCTTTCTATGCATTCATTCTATGTGTAAGTTCTGCAGTTTTCCTATATATTAACTGTTTTGCCTCCTGATATATATGTGCATATCATAGACAGTCAGATAAAAGCCTTATAGTAATCAAAACTCAGAAGACAAAGCACTGTTCATCAGCAGGTTTATTGAAAGCCAAAAGGGTGAAATTAGAAAAAGAAATAAATACAAACTTCTGAGTAGTTTACTCTGAATAACAAAATAAATAAAAGGTAAAAAAAAATAGAAAGAAGAAATATGACAAAGGAGCCTGAATGTGAATCTAAATGTGAGACCTAGGGTCTAAATGGAAAAAGGAGGTAGCAAGTAGTTTGCTTAAATGGCTGTGCTATAAAATTTGCAGCAAAAGGAAGAAAGTTACATGAAATTACAGTATGGCACAGTGTGCAACAGTCAACATGCAGTGAAAGGAGTTTTATATGGAGAAATACAATAGCAAAATAAATGTATACAAGGTGGCTATATTAAACAGATATTTAAATAATATGATAATAAAAGAGACCCATGCAGAGAGAAAAACCTCAAGAACTTATGAACTGGCAATGCTATTGTTTGGGGTAGATATAGACAGTCAGAATGGTGTACTTTGAGCCTGTGTACCAGTTCCAGTATTTATTATGGACTAAACAGGAAGTGGTCAAAAATGGTCTAAACTAAAAATATGTCTAAATTAAAAATGGGATAAACAAGGTGAAAATAAAACAACAAAGGTTTTGTACTGTGCAGAATATGAACACTTCATAAATACATTCATCATTTGCCTGCTTTCATTTCTTTCTAATATGTACGCTTAAAACCCCATATTCTATGCTATTCCTTGCCATTATCTGCTGTCTCTATTTCATTAGCACAAGAATTTTTTCCGTCATCCACTTCTATTTTTCTTATCTCTCTTCCTTTGGGATGATACCATTTTCTTTAAGGTCTAGTGCTTTCTTTAAGGTGTTCCATGTTGAATTCTAAAGTTTTATATTTTTTAATAACTATACCAGCATATGTTTGTTATCAGATTGAGTTATTCTAGACGTTGTTGTATTGTAGACCAGCCATTGCTTTAGATTTCTTTTATCCTGCTGGAGAGATGATTGATCTTACAGTTACTGTAATTCCTCATGCATAATATGCATT